TTGGTTGATTGGTTGGTTGGTTGATTGATGTGTTTCTTAACTTGATAAACTACAGAAACATGTTCAAACTAACATCAGATCATTTTCTGTCCCATCATGCTTTGCTCCACCCAGCTGATGTCTATGGTGAGTCAACGTCCAGGCAGCATCATTGGCTGTTGATAATGTCCTCTGTGTCGTAACAACAAACAGCTAAATGTTAGCTAAACGACAAAAGTCAATTTCTTTGTTTGACGGAAACATCTGTGATTTCAGCTCCACTGCTGCCCCCTGTGGTCAGCAGTGGATCAACAGCTGCTGAGTCTCTGAACTTAAATCCCTAATTTTCTTAATGGACTTCTGTATGGGGAGGTGAAGGCTGTAGCTCCACCCCCTCCATTATTGATGTGTGAACACACACACATACACACACACACACACTTAGGAAGTATTATTTTAGCGCCACCTGCTGTTTCTGAATCTAAAGTCTTGGGCAGAACAACAAGGTCTTCAGGATCAGGGAGAGAAAACCATTGACTGTGGTTCCTGACCCTGACCCTGACCCTGACCCTGACCCTGCAGGTCGAGGGGACCTCCAGCCTCAGCTGGACAGTGCTCTGCAGGACGTGACTGATAAATATCTGCTGCTGGAGGAGACGGAGAAGACGGCCGTGAGGAAGGCTCTGGTGGAGGAGAGGAGTCGCTTCTGCTGCTTGGTCTCCATGTTGAGACCTGTGGTGGTCAGTGGTCACACACACACACACGCACACACACACACACACAGACAGGTCCAGACCGTGTGTGTGTGTGTGTGTGTCTCAGGGGGAGGAGGTGTCCATGCTGGCTGAAGTCACTCACCTGAAGACTCTGACTGAAGACCTGAAGCTCTTAACCATGGACCCTCACAAGCTGCCGCCGTCCAGTGAACAGGTGAGCGCCTCGCTTTGGACCAAAGGCTCTGGGTGAATGAGCTCACTTCCTGTCTCTGTGTCTGCAGGTGATCGTGGACCTAAAGGGTTCTGACTGTACCTGGTCCTATCAGACTCCGCCCTCGTCACCCAGCACCCAGTCCAGGAAGTCCAGCATGTGCAGGTTTGACTCCGTCACCTCCGTCGAGTGTGGAGGAGATCCAGGTCTCTGATTGGTCGTCCAACGTCTCCGGTCCACTGACGGAGACAACGTGTTTGAGAATCAGTTTGGAACGCAAACCTTTAGTTGATCATTAAAAACAGTGTTTGATATTTTTACTAAATAACAACGAAAGAAGATGTTCAGACCAAACCTCATGGAGAAAATCAGAGATTTTAGTTCAGACCAAAGTCCATGGAGAAAATCAGAGATTTTAGTTCAGACCAAAGTCCATGGAGAAAATCAGAGATTTTAGTTCAGACCAAAGTCCATGGAGAAAATCAGAGATTTTAGTTCAGACCAAAGTCCATGGAGAAAATCAGAGATTTTAGTTCAGACCAAAGTCCATGGAGAAAATCAGAGATTTTAGTTCAGACCAAAGTCCATGGAGAAAATCAGAGATTTTAGTTCAGACCAAAGTCCATGGAGAAAATCAGAGATTTTAGTTCAGACCAAAGTCCATGGAGAAAATCAGAGATTTTAGTTCAGACCAAAGTCCATGGAGAAAATCAGAGATTTTAGTTCAGACCAAAGTCCATGGAGAAAATCAGAGATTTTAGTTCAGACCAAAGTCCATGGAGAAAATCAGAGATTTTAGTTCAGACCAAAGTCCATGGAGAAAATCAGAGATTTTAGTTCAGACCAAAGTCCATGGAGAAAATCAGAGATTTTAGTTCAGACCAAAGTCCATGGAGAAAATCAGAGATTTTAGTTCAGACCAAAGTCCATGGAGAAAATCAGAGATTTTAGTTCAGACCAAAGTCCATGGAGAAAATCAGAGATTTTAGTTCAGACCAAAGTCCATGGAGAAAATCAGAGATTTTAGTTCAGACCAAAGTCCAATATATGCCCCGAAGCCCCCCCCACAGCCCCTGCCCAACCCCTCGTTCTAATTTTGTCTTTGTTTCTTTTTTCTTGTAAAGTGTTTTTTTTTTTTAAGAAATCCCAGTTATTGTTATTGTCCTCCCTGTGGTCAGTTTGTGTCACTACAGTAAGTCTGAACACAGGATTTCCAACAGTCAAACTGAGACGTTTGTCCACTGAGGGGTGGCGTCAGCCCTGGAGCCACAGAATCACTGATTTTCCGAGTGAGGTTTGGTCTGGGAGCTCAAAAGGTTCCTGCTCCTAAATTCACATCTATTAATTTAAGAAGAGAAAGAATAGCGCCCCCGTCTGTCTCTCTGTCTCCTGCAGCAGTCTGAACAGTGTGAACAGCAGCGACTCTCGCTCCAGCGGCTCCCACTCCCACTCCCCTACCTCCCACTTTCGTTACCGCACCTCCTCCTCTTCCTCCTCCTCTCTGCTCCCGCTGCAGACTCCTGCTCGACTCTCCTCCATCTCCTCCCACGACTCTGGCTTCATCTCCCAGGATGCCTTCCACTCCAAATCCCCGTCTCCGATGCCCCTGGAAACCTGCCAGGTGAGTTTTACCCCAGACCTCATGAACGCTCCTGACGTGGTCTTCATCCAGTCCTTCATCTTCTCCTTTCTATTCAACTACCCCTCAGTTGCTACATGCTACTGACCATCACACTGCCCTCTGTCTGCACCGAGTGGTAGTGCAGGATACTCTCCTCCATACTTCTCCTCCTTCACCTCCTCTCCCACCTCCTCAACATCCTGTTTGTCCCCATCCCCTGCATGACCATCGTGTCGTACCAGCCCCGGCCAATCAGGAGAGCTCCTGCCTCTCAACCCCTTAGGGATTGGAACCATCCCCACATCCAGAGTTCCGACCTGGAAGGTTCTGTCTTTGCTTGTTCTTTTCCGTTCTCTGTTTTCAGTCACTGAAATGTTCATTCAGAAGTCCATAGAGAAAATCAGAGATTTTAGTTCCGACCAAAGTCCATGGAGAAAATCAGAGATTTTAGTTCCGACCAAAGTCCATGGAGAAAATCAGAGATTTTAGTTCCGACCAAAGTCCATGGAGAAAATCAGAGATTTTAGTTCAGACCAAAGCCCATGGAGAAAATCAGAGATTTTAGTTCCGACCAAAGTCCATGGAGAAAATCAGAGATTTTAGTTCCGACCAAAGTCCATGGAGAAAATCAGTGATTTTAGTTCAGACCAAAGTCCCTAGAGAAAATCAGAGATTTTAGTTCCGACCAAAGTCCATGGAGAAAATCAGTGATTTTAGTTCAGACCAAAGTCCCTAGAGAAAATCAGAGATTTTAGTTCAGACCAAAGTCCATGGAGAAAATCAGTGATTTTAGTTCAGACCAAAGTCCCTAGAGAAAATCAGAGATTTTAGTTCAGGCCAAAGTCCATAGAGAAAATCAGAGATTTTAGTTCAGACCAAAGTCCAGGGAGAAAATCAGAGATTTTAGTTCCGACCAAAGTCCATGGAGAAAATCAGTGATTTTAGTTCAGACCAAAGTCCATGGAGAAAATCAGAGATTTTAGTTCAGACCAAAGCCCATGGAGAAAATCAGAGATTTTAGTTCCGACCAAAGTCCATGGAGAAAATCAGTGATTTTAGTTCAGACCAAAGTCCAGGGAGAAAATCAGAGATTTTAGTTCCGACCAAAGTCCATGGAGAAAATCAGTGATTTTAGTTCAGACCAAAGTCCAGGGAGAAAATCAGAGATTTTAGTTCCGACCAAAGTCCATGGAGAAAATCAGTGATTTTAGTTCAGACCAAAGTCCAGGGAGAAAATCAGAGATTTTAGTTCCGACCAAAGTCCATGGAGAAAATCAGAGATTTTAGTTCAGGCCAAAGTCCATAGAGAAAATCAGAGATTTTAGTTCAGGCCAAAGTCCATAGAGAAAATCAGAGATTTTAGTTCAGACCAAAGTCCCTAGAGAAAATCAGAGATTTTAGTTCCGACCAAAGTCCATGGAGAAAATCAGAGATTTTAGTTCACAGACAGGTTACAGACAGCAGATTTGGTCTGTTTTGAAGTCATTGTTCAACTGAACCCTCTGTACAGGACTGGGCCAAACCAGGTCCATATGAGCAGCCAGTGGTCAACACTCTGAGGAGGAGCAGAACTTTAGATCCCAGCATCTACCGGGGTGTGGGGGAGGAGCCACAAAGAGTCAAAGGAGGACAAAAGGTACACATCAAAATAGCCGTACTGTCAGTTTAAATATTCAAGACAGAGAGTTAGCCCAGTAAAGGCTAAGAGTGTAGACAGAAAGACAGACTACTTCTGTAAGACACTGTAGTACTGAGTACTGAACCAGATGTAAACCAAACTCTGTTTCCAAAACTGCTCTCTAGTGGTCAGTTGGTCAAAGGACATTTTCTTTTACTGTTGTAGCTGGAGGACCGAGAGGTTCACGAGGAGTTGGCCAGAGTCCTGGCTCGCGGTCTCCATTTAGACCTGCAGGGTTCCAGCAGGGACTCGCTGCAGGGGTCCAGTGGCTACAGCAGCCAGACCAACACCCCCTGCTGTTCAGAGGACGCTAACGTGTCACACGGTAAATGAACGGCTGTGTTAGCATGGAGCCAGATTAGGAATGGGCCTAACTGAGCTCTCCTGTTCCCTCTAGTGTCAGACTGTGACTACTACAGCGTTGGTGTGGTGGACCAGGACAGTGAGCAGCAGCAGTCCTCGTCGCCGTCCCCCCTCCCCAGGAACAGTCACATCAACCAGACCAACCGTCGGATGTTCCAGTCCAAACGCCCCTGCTCCACCCCCGGTCCGACCTCGAGTCCCACCCCTGGTGTGGCCACCATCCGACGAACACCGTCCTCCAAACCAAACCTCCGCAGACCCTCCGCAGGCCTCGGTCTGGGTCCTATACCCATCAGACCTCCCATGATCCCTGTGAAGACCCCGACTGTCCCTGAACATCTGGGCCTCCCCAACAGAACCTGGTCGGAGAACACGCCCCCCAGTCCTTTAACCACGCCCTTGTCCCCCGGGTCCAACGCGTACCACAAGCAGAACTTTGTGGAGACTTCTTCAGATCCTCCCACGCCTCCGCCCCAGCCCGGGGCCCGGGTGTCAGACTGGGACCGTAGGCCCCTGCCGGAGCTCCTGGAGGAGGCGGAGGTCAGTGAGGTGGAGGACTACCTGGTGGCCATTCGACGAGGAGTCATCCTGAGGAAGACCATAACCAAGGACCGGTCAGCACCAAACATTCTGAGGGAGCAGTCGGATTGTTAACGCCCCGGACAGAACCCCCCAAGAACTGGACAAGAACTTTCCAGGATCATCCAGGATCCTTCGTCTGTGCCTTGGCTCCTCTTCAGCACCTCGGACAGAGACAATAAAAAACGACGACACACTTTCCCATTGAAACTGAGGATCTTGGAGAACTAGAACTCAGCTCCTCTGTGGGGGCAGGAACCAGAGCTTTGGAACACTGGCCAAGGTTCAGGTTGAGCCCTGGTGTCCGTCTGACACTGAAACAGTTCTAGGATCAATGGTACTAACGTGAATTCTTTCCTCTGACCAAGGAGACCCCTTGTGGTATCTAAAGGATCCTACAGCCCAGAACTGTTCTTCATCAGGGTCAGATGTTCCTTGGGTCATCACTGATGAAGACACCCAGACAGTACCGGGGTCTGGAGGCGTGCCAAGAGTTCCCGAAAAGTAAAAGCCCGCCCACAGCAGGTCAAAGGTCAACCTCCGAAATAAAGTCCAGATCCATGGACCATGAGCAAGAAGCCAAATGTCCACAGGTGGTGCTGTAGTGAAGGTGAAGAGCCAACGACCAAGGATGGAGTCGGACCTGTTCTTGGAGAACCTCCTGGCCCGTGGATCTTCATGGAGGGTTCTCTAAAACCCCACCTTTGGATAAGAAAAAAAATCTCCCATCATCCTCTCTGGGGTCTACGGAGCAGACCCTGACCTGGAGGCAGAACCCACAACAGAGACCTGAGATCTTCAACCTTCTGATGGAAGGTTGGCCAATGACGAACCGGGGAACGACCAATCAGAACCGTTTGTCCCAGTAAACAGTTCTGGTACTGACAGTCCTCCATCGCGTAAAGAAACAAAAGTCTTGGGTTCGATTCTCATTTTGATACCAAATACCATGAAGTCATTCCTGGATGTTGGCCTTGTTGTACAGGACGAATGGTGCCCTCTGGTGGGCTGCGTGAAGCCGTCGTTAGAGGATTCAGAGGAGATGTAACGTGCGTTTAAGCCCCGCCCAGGTTACTGTACGACATCAGAACGACACTTGACAGTAAATGTTAGCTTTAGTGATGTCGACCGTTACGACCTGCGAACGACTGTGATAGCATGCAGTTGCTAACTGTAAAAAGTCTCTGTTACCGTGTTGAAAGCTGATTAGCATAACAAGCTAAAAATACTCAATTCTATAATACCGTCAAATTAGAACAATGTGGAACCGAGCAGTTCATCAGTTCTGTTCTTGTTTGCTGGTTAAATTCCTTCTCCGAACTTTTCATTTTTAAGCAAGAAAATTCTTTTGTTCTTCGAGCGTTCCTGGACTTTGTAGTAAATCTGTTCCTACGATGTGACTTGATTTTCTAAATTTGAAACGATGTACATACTGTACATTAGTAGCTAGGTCACTCACTTACGCTAACGCAGTGCTAACATCAGTAGAGGAGTAGACGAATGTAGCGCGATCCAAGGTGAGGGCGAAGGTAAAGAAAGTCGACTTCCACTTATAGCGCTACGTGACAGCGTATACATCCGCTCCGCTCACCATCTAGTTCCCGTGCGAACTTGTTTTAACGCTGTACGTCAAAATGATGGAATGAGGTTTTCTTAATAAATTTATGAGAGATGATGATGTAACCGACGACGAAACGCCGTAAGTCGATGATGTCGTGAGCCGACGACCCCCTGTATTTGACAAGAACGTCGACGTTAGCATCATTTGCTTGTGAGCAACACGATGTAAGACATCACTGCCGGTGGCTAACCAGCATCGTTAGCTAAGACGAAGTTTATTGATTCTGACCGACCAGTCGTACTGTAGGATCGCGAGCTAAAGCGTTATTTTAGTTTAAGATAAATGAACCTAGCATGTCGTTTCCAGTGAATGTTGGTTCAAACAGCAGAGGGCGTAGTTGTTATCCACACACTGAATTAATTTTTCTCTTTTTGTCGTTTGTTTTTATTCTGCCTTTTTTTCATCTGTGTCTTAGCTACTGTGTACGGGACAGGTTAGCGCCCCCTGTGGGTCCTGAGGTCTGACGTCAACATTTCTCCAGCTCAGGTTTTCTGACTGTTGCGAAGCTGATGCGTTTAGGGAACGTGTGTGAAGCTGAACAGTCTGTGCTGCTGCCGTCGAATGTTGTTAAAGACAAAGTCGGAAAATCTTCTACGGGATTGTTTGACCTTTGACCTTTGACTCAGATTGCAGATTTAATTTTTTTTTCATGAATAACTCATCGCTGCTCAACAAATGTTACGTTATTTTTCCGCTGCAGGAACCAGTGAAGGCATCATCACCACAGCAGTTGCATGACATGAAAACAGCGCCACCTGCAGTGTCAAATAAAAACCATCATTGTGCTTCAAATGAAGTTTATTGCATCAAACTCGCCGGCATTTGCTCAGACTGTCCACAGGGTGGCAGCAAAAACATCAAACAATCTTTATGAGAATTTTACATAAACTTGTGAGATTATTTTTAACTGGACTCAAGACATAAAAATAAACCTTTAAAACTTCAAATCCTGAAGATTCAAACGTAGCCTCAGGTTCTTAGTATTTTAACGTCAGTCCTGCTTCGAGACGAGGCGTTATTACAGCATAAATATTAACGTCGTAACGTTAGAAAGTAGTAACTTTTTTATTTCATTTTTCCTGACGTGTCACCAACAGAAAAAAACGTCGTCAAATGTTAGCGTTGTTGTTGGAACGTCGTAGTTTTTAGTGGCTATCTTAAAAAAGTGGAGCTGGTTAGCTACAGACTAACCTCAGATTAGCTACAGACTAACCTCAGATTAGCTACAGACTA